CTCGAAGCAGCTGGCATTCATTTCGTCATGGTAATCACCTCCTTTCTTAGAGACGAAAATCAAGTCACACTCTTCTAAAAAGCCACTATCGCTACCAATATGAGTTACGATCAATCTTTGACCTTTCCCTGACGGCCCACGAAGACCTGTTGACAAACCTTCAATGCTTGCTTGTCGGTTACTCACTACGTTTTTGTCTATCCAGGTTTTTTTAACTGTGTGACCTGCATTTACCCATGTCTCGTCCAAATAATAGACTGCTTTGTCGCCTATATTCAATCATTTCGCGTAGGTATTTTCGACGCCAAGCGACTATTTCAGGCCTCTCTATCAATACTGACTTCCGATTACGCGTTTCGTAACGAAAATTAATTTCGTGCAGGGATTTCCTCATTACCTCGTCGCTCATTTGGCGTATAATTTCATTTTCCTTGATCGCTGCATGTACAGCATAGAGGGTTGGTATCTCATTCCTAAAGAAGAATGAATGTACGGTTCGCCTTAACGCCATTTTGCTATCATCATCCAATTTAACGGCCTTTCGTCCCTCCAAATTAAACGTTGGATCAGTAGTAGCTCCAGTTTTCTTCTTTTCATGCACCACCCTGCGAATGGTCCACTCTGGAACGCCTGTCATACTTTCACAACGCGCGAGTGCATCTCCCTGCGACATAGTTCTGTTCAGATAATTGAACACGTTGAGCACGATTTCTTTCGCGTCCCTCTTCAGTGCTTTACGAAGCCGTCTACTTGTTCCCTGGCTTTCAGTACTTCCTCTCGTGCCATTTGTACTCTCCATGGTTAAGTATAACCAAAACAGTAATCACAGAAACCACAACAATAACAATCACACAACAATTCTTATAAAAACACACAATATGCGATCGCTCAACGAAACACGTTCCAATGCGTTGCCGACGCCTATGAGTCTGCCGGTCGAGGCGCGTCTTTGATTTCATTGGTTCTACCGGCGGAGAACAATCAGCCATTATTTCCATCTCTGTCTGTGCTGTTGACTACCGCAAAGCCACAGAAACGACATATGTCGTACGCTATACGGCTGTACTGGAAGGAACTCGGTATCGAGCTCTGATCACGTGTTGATCACGCGTATGAGTCATTACAGTTTTAAATAGTTGTAGTATACCTATATTTCACTTTGCACTATATAGTCTATGAATACTTTCAGACAAAATAAATTAATAACGCTGCAAACCATTCTAAGTAACTGATAACGAGTCCAGAGCAACGAGTCGTATTCAAAGTAACTAATCGTCACAAGTCTTTAAAAATAACTAAACTTTACATCACTATCGGCTTGATGTATAGCTTTATTGTTGTATACACCCTTACTACTAGGCTTAGCAGAATTTTTAGGCGATCCCCTTAAAACTTATGTATGCACGCCTATAGCGACATTCATACAACAAAAAGAAAAATCTTGAATGCATCACGTTCCGTTTCTTAAATTACTATCCGTAGTACGTATTAATTAAAACGAATGAAAAAGGAATTCTTGACTTTATTACATACCGGCTGATTATTATATTCCCTCGGTTTTTATCCTTCAACATGTTACGTAAGGCATTTAATTATCTCTAGGTCCCATAACAGCCTTTTTTGGAAGCACTCCGATGAGAAACGTAAATACTAGGCTGAGAATGTATTATGTCATTGACTTAATTTTGTTGATGTAACGTTTATTTGAATGCTGTATTATTATGGTTTGCTTCCTATAATAAGCAATGAATGGAGAATAATTTTTTTGACCATCTACACCTAGATGGTAAAAAAATAAATAAAACATATTTTTGAATTTAAATACTTATAGATAATTAAGATCCCAATCCGAAATTTCAAATAGATTTTCTAGAAAAAGTTCATAAAAATGTAATTTTTTCCAGCTCTTAGGTGTAGGTCACCCCTTAATTAGAAGCATTTGAAATATCTTGAACACCGCGACCCTATCAACCGACTAAAGGTGTGTAAATTAAAAGAAAGGAGCCACATGAGCGCATGTCAATGACACACAGTTTTGGCTGACTAGCTTAAATGCAAAATACAAATTCTCGGGAGAGCAGCAAGCCGCGAACGAAGCCAGGCCAGAAAGAACGTGATTCTTTTTTTAAGCCAAGCTCTCGAAAATGTTTATTTTCTTTATCACTACAGAGTATATTGAATGACAGTTAAAGCCATTACAATGTCAATGAATACACTCCTCAACGTGAAGTTAATTAATATACATCAACAATCTACATGTCACAAAATAAAATATTGACCAACAGGAATACTAAGATTGAAAAATTAATACTATAGAAATTACATAATCACCAATACTATAAAAATGACATATTGGCATGACAGGACATGTTTTTATCGATCACTCTTTTATTTTGTGACCTGTGCATTTTTTGCTGTTGTACGTTAACTAATGGTTTTTCTCCATTTTTTCTTTCTTGGATTGCTCATCTTGAAAGAGGACTTGACATTGTAAGTAATGTTTTCAGTGATATTGTAATGCTTTAATTTTTATTCAATATTCTATGCCGCATGTCCAGATTGTCCAGATGAAGAAAATAAATATTTTCGAAAGCTTGACTTTCTGGTCTGGCTTCGTTTGCGGTTAGAAGCTTCCGAGAGAATTTGTACATTGCAGCTTTGCAAACTGGAAAAAACAGGGTGGCCATAGCCGAAAAGGCGTCCTTCGAAGTAGGAAGATAAATAAGAGGGATTGAGAATACAACCCTATATGCGGAGCGCAACTAAGCTAATAATTTTCTAGTCAAAAATGGGGCTTTTCATTTAAAAAACAAAACTTGACGTTGAAATAACTTTGATGGTGAAACCCAAGGTCAAATCCGAAGTCACCACTGTGCTCCTTTCTCAAACCAGTAAAGACTTGATCTTAATCTTTTTCAAGGGCGTACCTGGGAAGGCAAGGGAGGGCAGCTACTTCCCCTTTTCCCTAGCTCACCAAAAATTAAATGGAGAGTACATTTTTACAAAAATTAACTTATTCATGTACACAAGCTGAATCAATATCCGTTAGATGAGAAATTAATTACAAAGATTGGTTGAAATCCATGTTAGAACTTAATTTTGCTAAAAGTACTTTATATACTAAGTGACATATAAATCCGAACACCCAGTTTAAATGGTTTTATTTTAATAAAATTTTGTATAAGTACTTAATGAAGCATAATAAGTAAATGATAAAAATTTCAAAATGATTGCACTGCTTTAAAGCCCTTTGACCTTTAATAATGTGTGGATGCACCCTGATGTGCTACGCATTCTCTAACGCGCCTAGGCATGCTTCTGATCAGGTGGTCAATGTCCTCCTGTGGTATCTCATTCCAGGCAACCACCAACTCCTCTCGAAGTGCTTCTAGAGTCTGAGGAGGTCGTTGCAAATTGAGCAATCTCCTACCCATCATATCCCACACGTGCTCAATTGGGGATAAGTCGGGAGATCTTGGTGGCCATGGTAACAATGTGACATCATTATGTTGAAAGAAGTCTATTGTGACTCTTGCAACATGTGGTCGGGCATTATCTTGTTGGAAAGTTGGATCTGCCAGGGTGTCAAGATAGGGTAAAAGATGGGGTTCTAGAACTTCGTGGATATAACGCTGCGCGTTCATGTTACCTCTGATGAAGATTAAAGGTGACCTGGAACCATAAGCTATAGCACCCCAAACCATAACTCCAACAGTGTGATGAACATGTCTTTCAACAAAAAACTGTGGATTCCTTCTTTCACCACGTCGCCTTCTAACCCTGGCACGACCATCGTGCATGCCTAAACAAAATCGAGACTCGTCACTAAAGACAATATTGTTCCATTCCTGATCCCAGAGTGACCGTTGTCTGCACCACTCAAGGCGATTACGTCGGTGTTCTCGAGTTAAAGGGAGGACCCAGTGTGGCCGGTATGAAAACAAGCCAAAACTTCTCATTCGTCGGTAAACACTTCGCATGCCAATAGGTCTTCCGTGTTCTGCAAACCATTCATTTGCACGGTCCCTTAAGGCCAATAATCTTAGGCGGCGATCTTCACGGTCTGTTGTTCTACGGCGGCGTCCAGTGGCCCCTTGCTCCTTGTATACGGCCTTCTCGAAGCCATGCCTGACAACACCTAACCACAGTGTCTACACTTCTTTGCACTCTAACTGCAATTGCCCGAAAAGAAAGTCCAGCTTCCCGAAGTCCCAGTATACTGCCCCTATCAAACTCACTAAGTTGACGAAATCGTACAGGTCTCCGTACTCTAGGCATCGTAACCGATCGTAAAGGATGTCAAGAACCAAAATCTGCCAACGTTGATTCTTTACTGCGGCTGAAATATTCATTTTTAGAGCGTTAGTGAATTAAAAAAAAGCAGTATTAAAACCGGAATGTCCAACTGATAAGGCTGATAATTTTTTCACTTGTAATTTACAGTAAGATAAATACATTCACCAAATTTTATTAAAATAAAACCATTTAAACTGGGGATATCGGAAATGGTAAAGCAAAAGTGTCACGATCAGTATTTATTGTGGTCCGTACCATCAGTAAAAGTAGGAAGCACATAGTCCACAATTTTTGTTTTTGTAAATAACATTTTTGTTTTTTGTAAATAACATTTTTTATTTTTTTATATTAATCACAACAAACTTTTCATTACTGTTTCATGTTAACTCTAATGCACTTTTCGGCAATAACCAATAAGCTGTTGAAATGAGCTGGACATACTCATTAATTCTCACTGTTAAAAAAGTTGCCCTAAACTTTTTATTAGGAAAGGAGGGGCAGGAGTCTTATGGCCTTTCTACTCCTAGATAACATATTGAATCAGCCATTTCCCGATTTTTCAACGCCGACTCTACTCTACATATTTTCGAATTGCACCCCTCGTGTTTTTCGTGTATACCAAAAAAATCTTATCAAACCGAAAACTGCAAGCTGGATTCAAACTTTCGATAAATTATCAGGATTTATATGAAATGAGAAATTACCTGATTTCGGAAGGTACTTTATACGCCCCGCTAGTGACGTAGATGTCAGATCCATTGGTGTCATAACCACTTCCTCTACTCAACGCAGAAGGTGCCCTTGGTGACCTGTCATGGTGGTAACTTCCATTTTTCTGGTGATGGTGATATCGTCTACCGTTTCTTTCATTTACAACTGTATATGGCTGCAAAGAAAAAATACTTTACATCAGGTTACATATAGTAATTACGTAATACTACTCGTAAATAACGAATAAGAAATAACAGAGACTTTCAGACAAAATGAGATATTTTCACGTATTTGCAACATGTGAACTATTATTGTAGCACGGAATACTACTTGCAAAAATCGGGTGCATTTGGTTTGGTAGCATTTCCATCACTGTCACTGTGACAAATTCAAACACTGTATATAAAGCTATAAAAATGTTTCAGACAACATTAAATGCTTTGTGGGTTCATGCTTTCCACAAAATCCTACAACGGAGCATTGATTAACTACTTGAAGATACCCAACCTGATAGTATATTCCCACATGTAAAAAATTATCCGACGTGTAATGAGGTATCCTGGCGTTATCTATGAGAATTTGTCACAACTATATTTCTCATCTCGACAATAATTAGAAATCTACTTTCAAAAGGTTAGTCTCTCACACATAGTGCAGTAGCCAACAATACACATATCTTTGCGAAGTAACCATGTAATCATGTAGGTTGTGGTAACTTTGTTACTACATTTTCTTGTTGTCTGACAGCTTACCATGATGCAATCAATGACGTATATCATGCCATACTATCTAAGTATACATCTTTTCATGTAGTTACAGTATTTCTGTATCTGTTGATTCAATGGACGATGATGAAATGGTATCTCAAGAAACCGTCGAAGCAAACAAACATGAGGTTATGGTTAAAAGCTGTGTCGTTGTGGGCTTTGTGTATGTAAAAAATGGAAAAATGCGTTCAAAAGTGCGAAAGAACTATATTTTATACAACTCGGAGTAGTTTGTATATGAGGTAGACCTTGAATCAAAAGTATAAGAAAAGGTATTGGACTACATGCCTTTCTCTAGCTGCTGGATAATATTTACCCCATCTTTTAATCAAACGGGAATATCATCCAATAAAATAGTTATACGAGTAAGAATGTTTCCTTACTTATGAATAAAAGCTAAAAAATCTTAAACAACATAAAAGAATGATGGTGTCAAACGGCCTCGATAGAAAGGCTTGCTAACAATAAAGGAACATTATGACGTTATGGAATTTATCATACCATAGTTACATGGTTACTTCTCAAAAATGTGTCTTACATAATAATAATAGTAATATTTATTCACTCAATATACGAAGAGAACAAACAACATGAGTAATTAAATAAAGAATAAAAACAGCCCCAATAGGAGGCATTGCCTGTACATGGACCAATTATTTCAAGTTGCAACTGTAGGAAACAGATTACAAACACAGTAGATTGACTTGATGTTCGAATTTCTGAGTTTCTAAATTTCGTAGATATAGGATGTAGCCACTTTTTCAAATTTCTTTTGAAATGATTTCCGAAATGTAAGTCTTTTAAATCCTTAGGTATACTTTCATAAAATTTTGGTGCTAAGTCGATGTATGACCGCTGCATTATAGATTTATGTCGCTGAGGAGCTACTGTGTCACGAATTTTGTACCTTGTATACTGACTGTGTTTAATTTCTTGGTCGGTGTTGACAAATTTATGTTAGTGGGTGATACTGTGTAAGAAAAAAAGCTGCCTTATATCATACATTTGTGCACCTGCATATAGTTTGTCAGTGGGATAAAATTTCGGTTTTTTAAACATGATCATACATACATGAGCTACAGCGGCATCTATGAGATACTAACCTTATCATATAGATGCATATTAGCATATAGATTATTACGGAGAAGAAAAACATAGCAAGGATGAATTCTGATCCTAGATAATGCTAGGATAGCTCATTTCATGTTGGGCATTTTCTTTGAAACTTGCAGCGAACGCTTTGGAAGTCAATCTACTTGACGCCATTTGTTTTAATTGTTAATCAAGCGCGTTCAATGTATATTCTGCATGAGCACAAGAGAGTTGCGGCATAGCGGCGGCCGCCAGCTGCGAAGACATTTCCTAGACTATTGCATAAGGCAGAATATGCAAACTCACCACTGAGGTATATTCAGAGAGGGTTCTTTCGGAGGGCGCTCGTTGGCTTTCCTCCCCATCTGAGTACGCTACACTCCTTGGCATGTGAACGGGGGTGGGGGAGTGGTGTAGCCTAGGGGAGGCTATGTAGTGGTTCTTTGATACCTTCTTCGCCATCATTTTGATAAACTTGCTAGATTACTTCATCTGAAACAAGAAATGCATATCTATAATCAATTAATAACACGTTATACCCTACAATCAAATGTGCAATACTTTCAGACAAAAACAAGGGCGTATATCGAAGCGGTTCTTGTGAGACATATCAGAAAGTCCTAAACGATTTGGCAATATGCATCGTATTACACAACCCCAAAACCATCTTGATTTCGTTCCAAAACAAAAGCACTTCACTAGTTTTCGATACTTATTATCAGAAGACAAACCAATGTTGGGTACATAGGTAAGTAACTGTAACTCAGCTTATCACATATGGTGTGGCCTCAGTCTTAATAGGTTTTTAGTCTTTTTATATGCAGCCTCATTTTCTAGGTTTATTGAGCGTCTAGAAGCCTTATATGAGAAATTTTCAAGATCATGCAACTTCAATTCAATCCTAAATAACATCTTTAATCATTCTTTGCTGTTGAATAAAAGGTTCTCCTACAAAAATCCTACCTATTGTATGCGTCCATGTTTTAAATGCTCCTTTGAACAACTTGCATTAATAAAACTTAACATTACAACTATTATTCTGCGGAAGTTTGCTTATATGATTAGATAAAATGGAAGCTGCTCTTTTATTTCCTATTCAGACATACCATACTGGCATCGATTGTCATATTGAGGTCTGCAGAAATGTTTATCTCAGGAGTAAGTAAAATTCAAAAAATTTGGCTTACAAAAATAGCATTAACTCTGAATATTTGTCAGCGCTTATTTCAACGATGCAGATCGTGTAACCTGAACGTTTTCGTGTCTTTTGGAGGGGCTTTGTCGTTTTCGGGACGATGGACGAGGGTACATTAAAAAACGGCAGATAGCCTTAAGCTCGTCTGTAATTTTAGAGGGCTGGACGTCCTTTTTTGGGTACAGGAATGCCTATCCCATGCGATCCTGGGCTATGCTTGTTCTGCGCGGTGCCAACTTAAAATTCGGATTGATGACTGCGAAATCTTAACATCTCATGGTAGACTTAGACTACACACACACAAACACTGTAAAGAAATGTGATAATGAAAAGAAAAACAAACTGTCACCTAGAAGATAAATAAAATATATTGTTATTGTACTGAAGAAGAGCACCTTTGTGGTTGAAACGTTTACTTTAAAGAAGATTCTGTCAATACATGCGGTTTTATTGGCCAGACAAGCATGGGAGATTATAAACATTTACACTTTCTCATTTATAATATTAGCAGGGATAAATATAAATTAAAACTTTCATGCTGCCAAATCTTATTCTACTTAGTATTCAGACCATCTGTTTGCGACGACCTTCGATATTACGAAAAAAGCGTAGGAGTGAATACGTAACCAACCGCGCTAACAGAGGCTGACATTGAATTGATGGTGTCATCCAACGATAACAATTAGAATGTTCGTTTAGTTCGCATGAAACCGAGAGTGTTTCTGTGCTGTTTCCATACATGTCCGATGCCTCAGATGATGTTAGGGAGTGGCCGATGAGATCGAAAGCTCCACAAGTGTAGTGGCCTGAGGAATTCTAATTTCGTCAATGATGAGTTTGGCGGCTCGTTACGCGTGGTTTTACATGATGTGTAAACAGCATATTTACATTACAAATCAGTTATAAGAGATAGTAATAAAAATCACGCTACGAATGTTTGTAAGAGTTCTCTATAAGCACAATTAATATCTATTAGATGAGAAATTACTAGGATTAGTTGAAATCTATGTTAGATATAAACTTAATTTTGCTAAAAGCACAATATATGTTACCAGTGTTTCAAATTACAACCTTGCCTTTGGGATCTGGGGAACGATAAAGCGAATGTAACACGATCATAATTTACTATGGGCGAAATATTGTGCATCAATAATTACTGACGTTCAGGCTACACGGTCAATAAATAACACATCTCGATGATAAATGCACGACGCGGAGTACTTTATGAGGGCAAGTTGCGCAGATAAATAAAAATTGAAACTTGGACAGTTTGGAAATACAAAGTGTTTCTGTTTTTACTTTTTCCTGGCTTTAGTCTGAAACAAAACTTTTCAAACATTCACATTCTCTACAAATTTCAAATACATTAGATACAAATAATAACACTACCACTTTTTCTCTTCTATACGGTGGCATAATTAGAATTTCGATCAGCTTTTTATAAATTATACCGTTTTCGATGTATCCAAGATTACCCTTAAATAATATGAATGAGTTTTTGTTCCTCATTCCATGAGTTTAAACTAACTATATGAAGTTATAGACACAGTTTCATATTAATGCGCAAATGACTATATGATAATTTCAAGTCTTACTGATTTTTTTGACATGATATAATATTTGAAAACAGAATTAAAAGTTATTCGATGGCATACACAAGAAAAATTGAAGTTGAGCCGGGGGATAAGAACCGAAAAATCATATTAATGGTCTATTTATGTAACCTTGCAGATATCAAAAAGTGACAATATTGTTGTGCAATTTTGGGAAAATGCATTTTATAAAATATACTCGTATAAATCCGCAGCTTTGTCACCATTCAACCAACCCGTATCTTTTACCGTTTCTGAGATTACAATGGTAAAAATATGACAAATTTGTTTGTCAAATCATTCTAGAATTAACTAGGTAGGTACATACGAGTATCCTTCTACATATTCTGTAAAACTACTTTAGGCCTTGTGACGACATTTCAAGTAATTCTAGAAAAGCAACGAATAAATATCGACAAAGAGAAATTATTTCCGGAATTAGTATAATATGCTGTAGCCCCAGCTATAACAGAACTTTGAAGAGGCATATATAGAATGTTCATTAAAAAATTGTTGTAGTTGTCATGGCGGTATGGATCACCCTGTAGGGAGCCCCATTTTCCAAGTAGGAGATAATTGTTGTAAATAACATTGTTGACTATGATTCATAGTAATGTCCAATTAGATACTAAAAACTCACTCTGTATGTCTAATTTATTGCAGCAGTTACGTCGCTGGATAGCTTGAGCATTTTTGAAATCTTATGGACAAACAATTAAACGTTGCAACGAACTGGACATACCCATTTTAAAAGTATTTTCATTCCTTTCCTAATTATTCTATAGACTTATAACTTATATATAAGAATATATAAATTCCTCTGTACAATTTATTTTACAACAGGGTTGACATTTGGCTACCCATATGAATTGTGAAACCGTCGTGGAAGATTATATATAAATCAAATGCAAATAGAAATAGAAAAGTCAAGCATAGTTATGTAGATATGATATGTGGAACTTCCACCAAACAATTTTTTGAAGGTGCCCCCCTTCTATTTTAAGCTGGATACGCCCTTGTAAGTCGACTTTTAGTTTAGCCTTATAGAATGTATATTAAATAACTGCTGATCTGACAGAAAAAAATCACCAAATATCAGATTTTCTTTTCATATCGCATGATTATTACGAGATTTCATTTTATTTGACTTGTTAGTGTGTACGTTAGTGTGCGACAAATCATGAAACTAAATTTTAAGCTGGTTAACTGTAGCAAATTGACCAGAAATTTCATATACACGTTTGGTTGTCATGTCAATACATAATAAATTAAGTGCCGCCATTTTAGATCCATATGGCAGATGTTATAAAATGGCGCTCAATCATTTCCATAGTAGCCCCTATGATATGGCTAACACAAGAAAGGACTTGAGGAGAGGAACACTATAAGCAAAGTGACGTCATTCTAAGTCCAATATGGCGTCCCAACAGAATGGCGATTTATAATTTTCACAGAACGCTTATGCTATGGGTATCTAATAAAAGGCTTGATCAGCGACGCAGAATAAGTAAAGTGGACGTCGATCATGACGATGTAATGTTATCTATTATGACATGAAGTTGATGTGATGATGGAGCCTGAAGGTGGCCATGGGAACTTGAACCATATTAAATTTCAGCTTTTTAACATTAGGTGGTTCGCCAAAAGGTTAGGTACGATTTAATTCTACGATCAAGTACCTCTTCCGTATTTACGCAATAGATAATGAAAGTGAAGTAAGGGGTCTTATCAGTAAAATATATTAAATTATATAGAAATTATTAAATTAGGCATTTAAATTCGTATGTATTCTAGATGGTGTCAAAAATAATTATAAAAAAGTATTTTTAAAAATAAGCTATCATTTGGACGCTGATTTAAAGAACTAAAATTTTGAAAATACTCTTTCCGACTGGAAATATGCCGTTTTACACTTCTTAACTTGAAATTTAAACGAAGATGTAATTTTCAAATGAAAGCGTATTGCATTTTAACAGCAAGAGTGAAAAAGGTTGTAACATGTTTGAAAGCTTGCAATGAATGAGCTTATTACTGTTTAAAAGCTAAGGAGTATTTCGAATCGGATACAAGGATTCTTAATTATTGTTACTGTCAACTAAATAAAAGCTTGTTTAAAAATGTTTTTTCTTCTATTTATTACATTTAATTCCAATATGGTTGTGCCATGCTCTGAAAGGCTTTTTAAGTACTTTTTCAGCCAAAGCGTGATCCAACTAGCCTTATTCCTCTTTTATTAACAGTAACAGTTCCACGGCTGCTTTATGTGAGGCAATCAGTGCCAGGTCACGCTTATAATTTTTTTTGTCTAGACGAAATTACCCAGTAATTAATTAAAGCCAGCAATTAAATTAGTTCATTTTTGTTCTTCACACCGTAAACACCATTCCAGCTTTGTTCGTTTGAAAAATTTTATTGTGTGACCAACCATAAAATCCTATTCAGCGCATTCAGGAAATGAAATACTACCTGAAATAAAAGATCAGTCAGGTACGGACTCAGATCATAATACTTAGTTGAATATTTGGAACATATATCAATCGTAATATCAGTTTCTCGCTGAGATGATTGGAAGGTCGCTAAATAGTTTTTCGCGAGACTTAAGGCTTTCGTTTCTTTATACCTTACCTGAACCCTTAGATTGTGGAGATAAGTGCAGTATTGTTCCTTTACAATAAACCTGTTAAACTTAAAATTAGATACTGTATTCAGAAGTGTAGTGTGTTCTATTTGATA